CAAATCCCGCGCTTATACACCGCCTGCCGGCTCTCCAAAATAGATTCATGCGCAACGCGACGGGTGCCCCGTGGTACCTACGCAACGCTAACCTTCGCATAGATTTACGGCTCCCGACAATATCCCAATTCATGAAACAGGCATCGAGGAAATACTTCGACTCTGCTCCTCACCCCAACCCCCTCGTGGTGGCTGCATCCTCTTACGACCCCCTCAGGGAACAACCCCATCGCGTAAACAGGACCCGTCGGCCAAGGGGAGTCCTCAACGACACTATCACTCTCGCCACTTTGAAGGCCAACCAGATCGCTAGTCAGTCCCGTCCCTCACGCACCAACCGTCCTCGCCGGCGAGGTCGTAGAGCCCCTCATTTCAGCACGTACACTGGTAGATCCTCTCCTACAGCAAGCCCTTCTAGCGGAAGTCTCCAGTAGCGCCCTGAGCCGATGTCCGTGCCCACTTGAGCGCCCTCAAGCCCGCTACTTAGCTTTAAGTTTATTTTATTAGGGTTATGAGCCGTCAGCTCGCCCTTTTCTCCGGCGGCGCAGTCAAAGCCATCAGCGGCCAACTGCAAAATATCCTTAAAAAAAACTTAATGTGTAGAGAAATCTGAGAATACAGAGAGCTCAGTAAGACAACCAAGAGTTGAGTCCCTTCTTGGGAACTTCTACCCGGATCTTCTGACATTTCGTATGCTCATATAAGGGGAGATATTATTGCCCACCATATAGGGTGAAATTCATCATCTCGCGGAACGGTTTCCAGGAGTCGAGTCCCTTCTGGGAACAACTGCCCGGACCTTCCGCATATAGGGTGAAATTGTATTGGCGACATACAAGGTGAAAATAAAAATCTTCTGAACAAACAACGATTTGGAGTTTTTACTTGGCTGGATCTGCGTAACCTTATCCCACGGACGAGAGAACCACCTTCCTTTAAAAACGTCATTAGTTTTAAAATTGTTTATTACATTTAATTATATTACAGGACGAACTCGGTGGCTTAATGGTTTTGCTTTGACCACTTTGGAAAATTATTATTATAATTAAATTTAATTATAATTATTATTTTAACTATTATAATTATTATTAAATTTAATTTTATTTTTCACTGTTCCGGGCAGTGTCCTGAAAAATTATTATTGTTTTGCTTTGCGCGGCACTCCAACTGTCAATGTCACGTAGTATCATAAACAAAAAGTGAATTCCGTGGCTATGGTACCGTTAATAATAATAATAATAATAAAAATAAAAGCCGTGTTAAGTGATGTGGATACCTGTAATTGGCATATATACACAAGAACTGTGTGTTACCAAATGTCGTCTTTTAGTCTTATTTTTTCTGCGTAGTCTGTTGGTGTTCCAAATGAGTAAATAAATAAATAAAGCGGTGGTACCTAATGGTTTCACCTACCGTCTCTCAAGGAGAGGTCGCGGGTTCGAACTTGAGTTTTTGGGTTTCTCGGAATTTACGTGCAAATTTTATTTGAAATTTTCTATGAGGAAAATATCGTGTTTAAAATCTGCACGTCAAAGGAGGTCCATAACTCTCAGAAAACAAATAAATATTAGGTTTCGGTTGGTGAGGATGATGATAATAATTTAATGAATTAAAATGAATAGTATTTAAATTATTCAGATACGGGTGTCAAAAATTGAAACGTTGAAACCATTATTTTTATTCTCTTACTTAATACAATGTATTTTACGTAACCAAAGAATGCAACAAAATACAGACCGTAATAAAAGTGGCTAGTTAATTGTGAAAGGTAATGTACGGTATGAACGCTTTTTATGAAACAAGATCAGTTTTATTATTTTATTATGTTTCATAATTTTATTGAACCTTAACGCGGCGTGATCGATGACTATCGTGTATAATAACAATAAAATAATTGTCTACATTATGTAATACACTTGCAGGCATGAATTAGGGTAGCACAATGTTAAAAAATCCTGCCAGATCTGAATTTTCAGGTGAAGTTTAGCTAGTGGTGACTTTGAATGATTACGGAAAAAATGTACTTCAAAGTACTTATTATTATTAACAAAAATAAAAATACTACTACTACGTAATATTTCGATACCTCCAATGATCACGACGCCATCTTAATTTTTGGACCTGTTCTGTTTTTGTTACTTTGGTTTTTATTTTTGTTTTTTTTTTTGCCAATTTTCTGTTTTGGTTTTTTATTCTTTTTCACAAAATTTGGAGAGCACAATAATAATATAATATAATAAATAAATATCGCTGTTTACAAAAATAACAGGAAATGACCAAAAAATAAAGAGGGCGTAGTGTTCATCGGAGGTATCGATTTATTGATATGATTTAACACGAATTCAAAACACTATTTATGTACATTTGCATTTTTCCAATAGGCAACCGTAAGTTGAGAAAAATTAATTTAAATGAACTGCCTCTGAGGCAGCTTTTTCTTATTTTTCGAGGCAGTTTCCTGAGCCGGGAGAAATATTTGTATCCAGGGTTACATTTATTCCTCTCGTCACTTTCGGTGCAATAATATAGTAACCATAGTCTAGGCCATGAGAAAAAAAAAAAGTCATAATTGTATCTAAATTATTTCGTTTTAGTGTCACCCACAAATAATCGAAACAAGTTATTAATCTGCGTTATTAATTAAAATAAAAAATTGAGAACGAGATTTCGGCGAAAGCAAATAATTATAGAGATTTTAATGAAAACATAAAAATGTTATTTTTGCAATTTCCAAGTATAAAAAAATTATGAACTTGTTTTCTCCAAAACCTTAAAAGACTCACAGGAGTTTCCATCCTGCGTTTTGAAAATGTTAAAACAAATCACTTGCTAAACTGCATCCGAAATGATAGTTCTGACAAGATTTTTTAACACTGTGGATCGTTAGATAAATTTAATGTAACTTAATGCACATTTGTGTAAAATGGCTACATATTCAGAATTACAACTTTTTAAGAGAGATATTTAAAGATTCTAAAAACGAAATCGTTTCGGGTCTTTACAGGTTCAATGGTTATGACTGAGACGGTATGTATTATTGATTGCTTTACCTTCATCTACTACAAGTTATGTTGATTTGCATTTAACATTAGACACAACAGATTAATGACTTTACTATCTCAGTCAGCCGCGATCGTGAGCACCTGTAAAGGGCCCGAAACGTTTGTTTGAAAGAACAAATGTTTGAAAATTCATCTTTAATGTGGAACACAGCATAGCTGCTTTATGAGATAGGAAGGGCATCATAACCTTACCTAAAACGAGGGATATTATATACAATAATGGAAAACATGCACATACTACATACGTGGCGATTATTAAATAAACTGGACTAGATAGGTATGTAATTTAATACCCGCACTTGATCGAAGAAAATGCTTGAATTACCTTGTATCGTGTGACTGGATTTTCTAGTGAAAACCAACAGTTTCCAATATTTATTTATTGAATGATATGACGTTTTACAATCAAGATTTTCGTATATTTGTTGTGCAATCTACGTTAACGCATTAGATCACGGGGTGGCGCTGCAAAAACAATATTATTGGAACTTCAGAGTTCAAATGAATTTTAAAACTTTCCGTTTTTAAAAATGTGTTTAAAAATGTACACGGAATGAAACCTATTAACTGTTAGACAACTTTATTTATCAATTTCACTTCTTCAACACTCCAAAATACCGTAATATTGTGAATCAGAAAAGAAGTCTTTAGTCAGTCTGTGCCGCAGTTTCTGTTAGAACATCATTTTTCTAAAGGATTTTTGCGCTTCCGATCAGGCAGAGTGTATACTCTTAATATAATAAACTTGTCAAAATATGAGTAGAAAAAAGGAAATTAATTTATACTTACAAACACAACGCTATGAAAATACTGCGACAATAATTGAAACACCATTTTAAACACACACACAAACACACACACACACACACACACACAGAGAGAGAGAGAGAGAGACACACACACACACACACACACACACACACACACACACACACACACATCTATCTTCTTATCTGTACAGACTCTTAGTTTTTTAGTACGTACCTCATTTTATTCTTTTTGTGGAAGGAAGACATAAACGATTATTATACTATGATGGCTTGGATGAGATATATTACGTCACATTACGTGAACTTTTTGAAAATGGATCAGATTAAGATAATATTTTCAGCTAATAGACAACATTTCGAACTACCTACTTAAAATATTACTAAATACTTCTTTTTTACGACACAGATTTAATAAAGATGTTTAATGAAGCTAGTTTTATGAATCTAAATCGAGTAAGTATATTTGTTTTTTCAAACAAGACAACTATTTTTTTTTTTTATAAATAAATATTGTACAACATCACATCCGTTGCTCTGATTCTAAAGTAAGTAACCAAAGCACTTGTGTTATGGAAATTAGAAACAACGACGGTACCACAAACACTTAGAACCGAGACAATATACAGAAGTTAGTTTATCTACATTGACTATGATATATATATAGTCTCACTGCTGGGCTGTAGTTATCATGCTATCGCTTGAAAACTTCGAAAGGCTCATGATAAATTTCAAATTTATATAAAATAATAAATTAAATTTCGATCATAAATTCCGAAAAAGTCAGAGGCTAACCTACGCTCTGTGCTTGAGAAATGGTATGCCAAGCCATTACGCTACCACGACTTGGAGTTACAGAGTAAACTCAGTTAATGTGTGATTATCTAAAAAATATACATACGATTCGTAAACATCGTTCAAAACGAGAAAACGGATGCCCGTAAACGTAATACTCCTATAAACTCAGCGTAAACGATCGCTTTTTATGCGACTTTTTAAAACATTCGTGTGGGTGTTAATTTGGCTTTCCATTGTACTTTTTATGGAACATACCGTGTAGGCCGCAATTAGGCTTTATAAATGCAAAATCTTTTGTCTTAATAAAAAAAAACTCTTATATCCACTTTCTTTATTCTTTTCTTTTAAATTTCTTTTTTTTTAATCCAAACAGATGCCAACGACCAACATCGAGCTCGGAATAGAATTGGAATAAAAGTTAAAAACAAAATCAAGTTCCTAGAAAAACCAATGTTCGTACAAACGGATGGCATAAGACATTTAAAAAGAGTGGACATTATTTTCCCAAACGCGACAACGACAATTTTACCAAAATTCAAACCGATTTCAGACGAACAAATGCATCGAGTATCACAAATTTTAAGAGACATAAGTACAACACATAGTACAAATTTAAATAGTTTTAGAAAAGGCAGAGTTTTGACTGCTCCGGACGTTCCAGTGACTTCTAAATTGGAAGTTCTGCCTCAGAAGGAGGACCGACAAGATGAAAAGAAATGTCCCCAAGGGGGGACATGCGAATACTTTTTCTACTGCTGGATGGTCGGAGGCCTTCTGGAAGGTTCTTGTGGTGGTCTTCTAAGGGGATGCTGCCATAGAGTCGCGAAAGCCGGCATTTTAGGAGTACAAGACTCGAACAGTATCGAATACTCGCCAAATGAAGGATTGAGTTATGGTCCTGTGATAAATGACGAGAGTAAGTGTGGACCGATTTTTGTGGCTGCAAGTGTAGTTGCGATGTTACGTTAATTATTAAAAAGCACAATTAGTCGGTGTAAACGGTATGGTTTTATGTAGACAAATATATGGTTATTTTTAAATAATTAATAAAAATTGCCACGTAAATTAGGTAGTGAACACTAGTCCGAGAATGACCGGTTTTCTTTTCACTAACTCCTAAGAAAATGTAAAATGTGTATATTGTTCCTTTTTTTTTTACCAACATCGGTAATTGTCATATTAATTATTACATTTTAAAGTTCATTTTATGCAATAATATTAATTGTTTAGGTTAAATTATCTTCAGTCTTTTGTCAAGATTAATTTGTAATTGTTTAAACTCTTTTAACATTTTATATTTTCGTCATCAAAAGTACAAAACCCTTTACACTGCCTTCCACAAAAAACAGACCAAACATTTTTGTAATTAAAATTAACGCAATTTATTTTTTTTAAATACAAGCTTAACGTAACACAGCGACATACCCAGCCTCAGCATGAAACAGCAAAACAAACGCCTAAAACACAGCACAATGTGACTAACTGTAACAGAGCTCAGATGTGGTCGTTGGCAAGACATAGATAGAAATCTAGATCGTCCCGCAATTATCTAGATTCCTGTAACATCACCAGGTATATAAAACTGTATATTATTGTAATTTGTTTTTTTTTTGTATTTATTTAAAAATCTTTCTCTGTTCTAATTCTGCTCTTTTTCTAACTATGTCTTGCTTTCTCACATCTCTGTATATATGTATTAATTATTTGTGTTTATTATTTATTTTACTAACTAAAATTACTAACGTTTTACTTTTATTTACTGTAATATTTTTTCTGTTATTATTTTTGTACTTTTAACATTTCTAGTGGCAGGTAAGTGATTGATTATCTTTTTTTTATATATTTATTGTCAATTTTTTTATTATTACTATTCAATAAATAAGTATTTATTTATTTATTGAATAGTAATGTAATATGCAAGTTGGGAATTCCGTTTTCATCACCGGTGAGTGTTATGCAACTTAACTGCTTTACACGTTCCAAGTAATAGATAAGTAAACCTAAAAATGAGTGATAAGCTACGCAAATCGAGTAAACGAAGTTTAAATTTTTAGTTACGAGTTTAGATTCGAACCGTAGACGTCACAACTAACAGGAACCATTCTCCTATAGCGTATCAATTTACAAATTAATTAAATTGGTTTCATAGCCATGCGTACTGTCCGTACCGATTGTCTGCCTGCGGCATCCGCATGTGTAGAATCCGCAGTGCTCTGAATCGAGTATTAAATTTATGTATATTATATAACTTATACTTTTATTATTATTGTATAGCTTATAATTTATACAGCTTATACTTTTCTACAGAATATATTTCAGTGCGTGTGCCCATGAGCTCCATCAGCTTCCCATCCTTCCTATCCCACCCGCCTTTTACTATCGGACGTCCAGACGTACAGCGGGATATCATCCTTACTTGGTAGATATTACTATTATTGAATAACATATTCAATATTATATTAGATATTATTACTATTACTTAATACATATTATATTATAATATACTTACTTAATAATATCTAATATACTTAGTACGTATATGATATTACGTACTAAGCGCTTTTAATCATCTTTTATTATGCACACATCCCAGGAATGGAATTTCCTGCCTGCGACTGTGTTTCCGAGCACATACAACCCGAATATCTTTAAGGTGCGATAAAATATGCATCTTCTGGGCGAGCTCGTTCCATCGTAGTTCCCAGCTGTGCTCCAGAGCTAGGTAATGGTCTAGAGCAAGGCCAATTAGTTAAAAAAAAATTTCACGCGGAGTGTGTTCCGTACGGAGCAATCCGCGTCACTGTAAAACGATGTTCTAACACACGAGTTACTCCGCTCCGGTGCTCCGCGCGGATGTTCCGCAGATAAATCCGCACCGCTCTGAAACCAGCCTTACTTTTTTTATAAATTAATTAAAATAACACTTACCTTACCAAATCCAGTAATTTTGCGTTAATTACCGTGTCACCAACTTTGTTAATCTAAATTATGGCATAACAAGGAACTAATCTCATCGAATAAAAACGTCAAATTAATTCTCAGTTAGACAGATAAAACGTTTATTGTCTTCCCACAAGCACACATATTTTTTTATATTTTATTGTGTGTATGTGAATCATTTACAATCAGTGCCATTATTAGCAAATGTGCAAATAATAATCGGTTAAAGAATAGAATAGAATTATTTATTCCAGACCATGATCCATAATGTTAATAATACAGTACATTTTTCTTACGTGTATCGAGTATATAACCAGAAATACAGACAAAATAAAGACCATCCATCCCTGGCAAGTCATCAGGCAAATGGGCCTTACATCACTTTTAAATACCAACTCTCGTTTAGCTGAAATCACAAATTAGAAAGCTGAAATAGTACAGCGCCAACAACTGACCTGTGTTACGTCTCCGTATATTCCAAAAATATTCTGTATATATTATAATAAAGATAATATCTCTAACTATGGGCTATTCTATTCGGTGGTGTGAGAAAAACATCTAATTACAAAACAAACAGAATCACATTTCATCGATAATTAAATATTAAATTATGTAATTTTCCAATTTTCGTTGGTTATAGCAAAGCTCAAATTAAACTGGTCGATTTGAAATGAAATAATTCACGACACCCGTCAATTGTTTCGAATTCGGGCTTGCCAATCGGAGCGCAGTTGTCACCGTAATGATATGGCAGAATAATTTCCTAACAAATTAAATGACATTTCGTCTCTATTTCTGGTATATACTCGATGGGTTAGTACAATACAAAATTACTTAAAGTACCGGCACGCTATGATGGCCGTTTTGACGTTTGTCCGCTCATCAAGTTGCGTATTAATTGATAACTACGTTGAAGGAGCTAATTGATGTACATTGTTGTCAAGAGTGACGTGCAATAAAATTTATGGTTGTATAATTTTACGACACAACTCGGCTTTTCGAAATTCGAAATTTTTAAAAATGAAATCTAATACTTTCGTCACTTTGAGGATCGCTGGCCAGCACAACTTCTACCTCCGGCAAACTCGCGTCAAAGCTCAATGCAAAACAAAGTAGTTTCAAATTGTCGATATATTAAGTAAACATTTTTATTTTCGTTTTATTAAAACTTTTTAATCAGTTACCCCTAGCAATACTAGTTATAAATCTAAAAACTTATAGATGCGACTCGCATTTGATTATATTTTTATATCGATAATGAATTGAGATTTGACCTCATTATTGTAATCTGTCAAAACGGCCATCATAGCGTGCCGGTACTGTTATACTAGAGAAATGCCACGTCTAGACCTAGTCCCTACGCACGTGTAGTTGCACCCAACGTTGTTGGTAGGTGCAGTTCAGCCTGTTGACAACAACGACTAGCGCGGCCGCACACACGCATGTTGAGAGAGGTAGCCCTCTTACGAATAATTGCATGAAAGCCATCTGTGTGCGCTTCCGTAAACATGCATCTCATTAGCATCCTGAAAGCGTTGTTTCATTGCACCCTTAATGTATTCTGGGTTCTCTGCGTATACTTCACCCACAGGCTGCTCGTGTACAACTAAGTCAATGCAGGCAAACTCTCCACAGTCAGTTTCTTCCCCTTTATTTACACGTGCATTACTCCAACGGCAGTAAGTTCTTTCGTTTGATTGTCAACAGTTTTAGGATGGTTTTCAAGTCTTCTTTACCATGCTCATTTCCAGGTGTTTGTGGATCTTCGCGTATGTGTCATACCAGGGAACATTAGTCATACTATGCATGATAATGTTTTGCATTGTTTGTAACATGGATCTATTGCTCCTTGTGAAAGAGTTCGTCCAGGGAAGTACTGCCTCCGTGGTCGAACGGTTGCCACGACTGCCACTGCCACTGCCACGCTGTCCCAGGTTCGATTCCCGGGCCGGGAGAAATATTTTTTGTGGCCTACATCTATTTCTCTCGTGAGTTTGGGTGTAATTTGTGGTTGTCTATATGTGTATACATGGCACCCGCGACACAGGGTTTTCCTAGTGCGGGGCTATGTTGTGTATGTGCGTTATAATTATTATTAAAAAAAAGGAAGAAAAGAAAAAATCCACTTTTAAGGTTAGATTAGAGCGGTTACACACGGCAACTTGCGACGGCGAAACGCGATGCTAACGCGATGCAGTACCGATGCTGTCGCTAATCGCCTACCTTTATATGTGAACGTCTACCTTTTTTGGTGAAATTACAGGCACACGGGACTTGTCATATCATGGACTTGTCAGTCAACTTATGCCTCAGGGTGACGGGTGACGGGTGCAGTGGCAGTGCCTCCCAGATCTTTGCGATTTAAAGGTCTGAGTGGCATTGCCACTGTTATGAACAGGCGTGTAGCTTACCATCAGGCGCACGGCTTTTTCGTCCTGTCACTTGATATTATAAAAAAGAAACACGCGCGCGACTTGAAGCATCGATGCAATCGCGCGTTTGCTTCGATGCAATCGTCTATGAACCGCAAGTGAAGCGATGCAACCGCGCGTTTGCATCGCTGCTAAAACTCATCGTGTTGAACCACTCTTAATCATCGAACGCCGCGCCCAGTTTTTTTAACTGTGCACAGAAAGTCGACGAATTTTTTCACTGTCAAAACTTATTATGTACACTTTCATATTATAAAATATTATTGCACCTTTTCGTTACACTATGCATTCTAAATGTACGAGTGAGACAAGCCCGCGTCAATACGCATTTATCATCTCGTAACACGGACAAAAAATCTCCATCGGCGCAGACGGCGCCAAATGGTTGCATAAGCAGCAGCTGACCAGTTCGTAAACAAAGTTAAAGAGGTGACGTCACCTGCCTAGTCGCCTGGAGCGCATCCGATGAAATAAGATACATCAGCATACAGCACAGTCTGGTTTTTAAACTTCCTCACAAGAAAGACTCTGTCTCGGGATGATT